ATACTGGTTTACATGAAAAAAACCCTATTAAGTTGCATAATACTGGTTTACATGGAAAAATCCCCATTAAGTTGCATTATACTGGTTTACATGAAAAAAACCCTATTAAGTTGCATTATACTGGTTTACAAGGAAAAATCCCTATTAAGTTGCATTATACTGGTTTACATGGAAAAATCCCTATTAAGTTGCATAATACTGGTTTACATGGAAAAATCCCTATTAAGTTGCATTATACTGGTTTACATGGAAAAAACCCTATTAAGTTGCATTATACTGGTTTACATGGAAAAAACCCTATTAAGTTGCATTATACTGGTTTACATGGAAAAAACCCTATTAAGTTGCATTATACTGGTTTACATGTAAAAACCCCTATTAAGTTGCATTATACTGGTTTACATGGAAAAATCCCCATTAAGTTGCATTATACTGGTTTACATGGAAAAAACCCTATTAAGTTGCATTATACTGGTTTACATGAAAAAACCCTATTAAGTTGCATTATACTGGTTTACATGGAAAAATCCCTATTAAGTTGCATAATACTGGTTTACATGGAAAAATCCCCATTAAGTTGCATTATACTGGTTTACATGTAAAAAACCCTATTAAGTTGCATTATACTGGTTTACATGGAAAAAACCCTATTAAGTTGCATTATACTGGTTTACATGGAAAAAACCCTATTAAGTTGCATTATACTGGTTTACATGTAAAAAACCCTATTAAGTTGCATTATACTGGTTTACATGGAAAAATCCCCATTAAGTTGCATTATACTGGTTTACATGAAAAAAAACCCTATTAAGTTGCATTATACTGGTTTACATGAAAAAACCCTATTAAGTTGCATTATACTGGTTTACATGGAAAAATCCCTATTAAGTTGCATTATACTGGTTTACATGGAAAAATCCCTATTAGGTTGCATGATTACACTGAAGTCCTTGAAACTGCTGAAGTCCTTGAAACTGCTGAAGTCCTTGAAACTGCTGAAGTCCTTGAAACTGTTGAAGTCCTTGAAACTCTTGAAATCTTGAAACTGCTGAAATCCTTGAAACTGTTGAATCCTTGAAACTGTTGAATCATTGAAACTGTAGAAATGTCTGAAAGAGCTGAAGTCCTATTAAAATGCATGGGCCTATTAAAATGCATTGCAGAATTCTCAATGCAGATTTTTGTCCGATTGCGGAAAAACCGGAAATCGCTGAAGTCCCAAAAGTAATAGCAATAATCTCCCAAACATGTGGAACGTTTTGATGTATAACTTGTGGAAATTGTTGAAAATGTGAAAGCTGTGAAACGTGTCAAAAAAAATGACGGAATAAAGAAATACAAAACCAATGGTTGACTGCGGAAGGTTCCGCAGTCAATCAATCACTGCGGAACCTTCCGCAGTCAACCATTGGTTTTGTATTTCTTTATTCCGTCATTTTTTTTGACACACGTTTCACAGCTTTCACATTTTCAACAATTTCCACAAGTTATACATCAAAACGTTCCACATGTTTGGGAGATTATTGCTATTACTTTTGGGACTTCAGCGATTTCCGGTTTTTCCGCAATCGGACAAAAATCTGCATTGAGAATTCTGCAATGCATTTTAATAGGCCCATGCATTTTAATAGGACTTCAGCTCTTTCAGACATTTCTACAGTTTCAATGATTCAACAGTTTCAAGGATTCAACAGTTTCAAGGATTTCAGCAGTTTCAAGATTTCAAGAGTTTCAAGGACTTCAACAGTTTCAAGGACTTCAGCAGTTTCAAGGACTTCAGCAGTTTCAAGGACTTCAGCAGTTTCAAGGACTTCAGTGTAATCATGCAACCTAATGGGATTTTTCCATGTAAACCAGTATAATGCAACTTAATAGGGTTTTTTTTCCAGTATAATGCAACTTAATAGGGTTTTTTCCATGTAAACCAGTATAATGCAACTTAATAGGGTTTTTTCCATGTAAACCAGTACAATGCAACTTAATAGGGATTTTTCCATGTAAACCAGTATAATGCAACTTAATAGGGTTTTTTACATGTAAACCAGTATAATGCAACTTAATGGGGATTTTTCCATGTAAACCAGTATTATGCAACTTAATAGGGATTTTTCCATGTAAACCAGTATAATGCAACTTAATAGGGTTTTTTCATGTAAACCAGTATAATGCAACTTAATAGGGTTTTTTTTCATGTAAACCAGTATAATGCAACTTAATGGGGATTTTTCCATGTAAACCAGTATAATGCAACTTAATAGGGGTTTTTACATGTAAACCAGTATAATGCAACTTAATAGGGTTTTTTCCATGTAAACCAGTATAATGCAACTTAATAGGGTTTTTTCCATGTAAACCAGTATAATGCAACTTAATAGGGTTTTTTCCATGTAAACCAGTACAATGCAACTTAATAGGGATTTTTCCATGTAAACCAGTATAATGCAACTTAATAGGGTTTTTTACATGTAAACCAGTATAATGCAACTTAATGGGGATTTTTCCATGTAAACCAGTATTATGCAACTTAATAGGGATTTTTCCATGTAAACCAGTATAATGCAACTTAATAGGGATTTTTCCTTGTAAACCAGTATAATGCAACTTAATAGGGTTTTTTTCATGTAAACCAGTATAATGCAACTTAATGGGGATTTTTCCATGTAAACCAGTATTATGCAACTTAATAGGGATTTTTCCATGTAAACCAGTATAATGCAACTTAATAGGGTTTTTACATGTAAACCAGTATAATGGAACTTAATAGGGGTTTTTACATGTAAACCAGTATAATGGAACTTAATAGGGGTTTTTACATGTAAACCAGTATAATGCAACTTAATAAGGATTTTTACATGTAAACCACTATAATGTAACCTAATAGGGGTTTTTACATGTAAACCAGTATAAAGCAACTTAATAGGGATTTGTACATGTAAACCAGTATAATGCAACCTAATAGGGATTTTTCCATGTAAACCAGTATAATGCAACTTAATAGAGATTTTTCCATGTAAACCAGTATAATGCAACTTAATAGGGATTTTTCCATGTAAACCAGTATAATGCAACCTAATAGGGATTTTTCCATGTAAACCAGTATAATGCAACCTAATAGGGATTTTTCCATGTAAACCAGTATAATGCAACCTAATAGGTTGCATTATACCACCAGACCAAGACCCAAACGAAGACTCAGACCACCACCAGATAATGACCACAGACCAGGTTTCCTTAGTTACAGGAACCAAATTGTTTCAGCGGTGAGGGGATTTTTCAGTTTCAAGGACACTTTCAATACATTCAGTAGTTTCAAGGATTTCAACTGTTTAAGAATTTAACCAGTTTCAAGGATATCAGGAGGTTCAAGGATTTCAGGAGTTTCCACACTTTCAACAGTTTCCAGGTTTAAAAAAAGTTTCAAGGATTTCAGGAGTTTCAATGTTTCAACAGTTTCAAGGATTTCAGGAGTTTAAAGGTTTCAACAATTTCAAGGACTTCAGGAGTTTCAAATATCTATCAAGTATTTTAACAGTTTCAAGGCCTTTTAAAGGATTTCAAGGATTTTTTTTAGCAGATTTCCACATTAGATCTGTTCCGCAGTCAATCGCAATGGCTTCAGCCATTGCAAGTTTCTAGTTGCAGTTTATAAACCATTGTGAAATATACAGTAACTTTACATTTTAGAATTGAATTATTATTTTAAAACTCAAGAATCTTAACCTTTTTTAACACATAGTTTGTTGGACAGTCTAACCTAAGAATTCTAATGTGTTAAAAATAGTTTGAAATATGAAAAACAATATCATATTTTAAACTTTAACTTAAAAACAAAAAAAGGTGTCTCCCTTTCAGCTGAGCAGTGCCAGCCGTTATTATTATAGATTCATGCACTGGCAATTCAAAATACAGATAATATACAAAATATACTTAACAAAATCCACGTATACGTGAGAAAACAACTTACTTTCTGTCTCCAACTCTTTTCAATGTGGAAATGATACATCTATATCTAAAAACTGTGCAGACTGTGTACTTACTAGAGAGGGTGATTCCAAGTAAATAAAGCAGGGCAGCGACAGAGGTACAGATTCAACGTCATATCAACGTCTGGGAAGGCATTGCTTTACGTCCAGATGCACACCTTACGTCGTTTAGACGTGGAAAACAGGTCCTCGACCGAGCGACTCACGTGTCAGGCTGTAAAGCCGTTATACTCGCGCGGCGCATAGGTGTGCGTCGGTTGTTTAGGGTGTTATGTATTATTTTTTCACAGTAGTCAGAAAAATGCCTGGCCATGGTGTAGCGGTTGCGTAATGAGATTTCAGTCCCAACGACGCGGGTTCAAATCCCCGTCGGACAACTTTTGACTTTTCACTTTTTAGCGAACAATTTCTCTGTTTGGTTAAAAACGAATAAACACTCAACATAAGATTATGTAGTGGCTAATAATAAAACTTGTGAACCCATGCATTTGCATAAAATCTCAAGTGCTCACCCCTTATTTGCAAACTTGAGATTGTTAGCACAACAAATGCATACATTCACAAGTTTTATTATTAGCCACTACGTAATCCTATGTTGAGTGTTTATTAGTCTTTAACCAAACAGAAAAAAATTGTTCGTTAAAAATCAAAAAAAATATGTAAAGATAATAATACACACACGTGGGCTCGAACTCACGTAATCAAGGCTGCACACATTTGCTTAACCACTACACTACCGTCAGGTACACTTATGTCGCTTCACAGCCTATATATTGTATTGCTAGATCAAGACGTACTGCGTCGGTCGGCCGATGACCTGTTTTTGACGTCTAAGGGAGGTCGGGATTGAACGTCATATCCACGTATATGGGAGGTCATTGTTTTACGTCCAGATGCGCACCTTGCACAGACGTCGTTTGGACGTAAATAAAAGGTCACGACTGACCGACGCGATATTGACGTGATCTGGAGGTTGAGTGGACGTCGGATGTTTAGTGGGATGTTATTTTCATTTAGGGATGCTTCAATGATGGCCATGCGCCGCCGTATCCAGGGACTGAGCCCTGAAGAGATAAGAGCTCTGCCTAAAGATGAGCTGCAGATGCCTGTGACGATGGAGGACTTTACTCTCACATTAACAAAGATTTCCAAATCTGTCTCTGCGGCTGATCTGGAGAAGTATGAGGGCTGGATGACTGAGTTTGGTTCAGTCTAAAATATGTGTCAGACTTTAGATGCTGTCCATAGAACAAACAACAAGCTCCTTGCCTACAACATTTTGTTTTTGTTATAAAGGAGAAAGTACAACTGAAGGAAAAACTTGAAATAACATTGTTTATTTACCCTTTGCACATGCTGACATTGTTCAGTGGAGTCTGTTGATTAGCCAGTAACAAGCTTGTGAGGTGGGGTGCACAAAGAAGTATAAACCTCTACATTCTATTTGTTGATAATGATAAAATACAAGTGCAATAAATGGGAAGACTGAGAGCCCTACAAGAACTCATAGATCCTTCAGTGATCCATCACAGAAAGAGCATCCTATCCAAAAGTGTTCTTTCTCCAGAAATGTGCATTCTTTGATGCTAATGACAGGAATAATCCTGTAACAGTCAACAACAAAAGCGTAATGAGTTGGCCAGAAACACTTTTGCCTTCCTGAGATGTTCTGGTTAATAACCCATAATGTCATAGCCCCTAGTCATAAATGCTATTTTTAAAAAGTAATATACAAAGAATTGTTGGTTATAATGAACTGGACCATTTGAATAGATAACTGAGTTTGCAGGAATGTATCTTTTGAATATAAGTTTTGTGCTCAGTGCAGTACAACACCCGACATGGAAATCTGCTGTCCATCATGGCGTACCTGCTTGTTTAGAGATCAAGTGACCTTGGTTCATCAATAAACACTTAGTTTATTTATGTCATCTAATTGTATTTAGATGTGATTTCAGATTTGAATGATTTGTGTAAGTAAATTCAACTTGAAGAATGTTATTTGGCACAACACAGCTCCTACCTGTTCCTTTAATTCAATGTTTGTCTATTTAGTTTGGGGGGTTTAATTCATGTTTACGACTAACTCTGTAATTATCTTTGTCCATTTTCTTAGTTAGCTTAATGGTTGCACTGTATTTTAATAAACGGTTCATAATTGTTTGCTTATCGTATAATTGTGTTCTTAATTTTGTTGTGTTTGTGAACAGAGAATATATGAATGCATTCTTCTAACCTTTTCTTGGGTGAATTACTGTTGCTCACATACTGTGGGCTTTATTTTTTGCAGATAAAATTTTTAAACATGTTCTTAAGAGTGGATTCTATAATTACAGAAATAGAAATTACTACGATTTATAATAAAATAAATAAATAAACATTGCACTGTGTAGTGTGTACTGTGCTATACATCCAAAGGGCACAGATTTCTCATCTGTAGTCCCACCATAGTCATAGTTCAAGCCTATTTTCACCCAGAATTTCCTGTATTCTACCTTATGAATCTATCCAGATAAAATATCATTAGGTAGTTATTCTAGTCCGTAACTCAGCAGTAAAATAAGAGTTTGCATATTGAGCTATGAGAATTGTATCGAGTCAGTCAGAGTAAAGGTTTTGTCCTTTCATCCAAATATTCAAATAATAAATGCCATTTATTATTAAACTATGTTGTTCTGTTTCTCCCTATAACAATAACACTGAGCGTACTGAAAGTTTTATTAAATAGTACATATATTATATTACATATATAGATATGTATGTATCTATATATATCTATCATATCTATATCTATATAATAGATATAGATATGTATGTATATATATAGATACATATATATATATATCTATATATATATATAGATAGATAGATAGATAGATAGATAGATAGATAGATATATATATGTATATATATGTATATATATATATATATATTATATATAGCTCGGTGATGCTCGGTGACGCTGGGGCTGCATCAGCGCCGCGGACCGAGGAGGAGACGTGTTTTCGCCCCACTCTCTCCCAACATCACACTGGCTCTAGACCCTCACAATGGAAACCAAACCGGTCATCACCTGCCTGAAGACGCTCCTCATCGTGTATTCCTTCGTTTTCTGGGTATGTTGCTTGTGCCATTCTGCGTCACTCCGCAGAGGTTACATGTTTGCAGTCTCTTTTTATATGCGCTGTTTTTGTTGCGCGTTTTATTAAAAGGGTGGTCAGGGGCTGCTGTGGCTACCAAGCGCAATCGCAGAGAAGAGAAATGTGCCGAAGAAAATGCATTGTTTATGTTCAGCACTAAATATGTGTCGTACTATGTGATATGGCTTTATGTGGAGGTTTTATTTTTGTCCACAGGGCGTTACGTGTGGGTACATTGCCTACATAGCATCATGGTTGTTAGCGCTGCTGTGGGATGTTAATGCCTCCGCAACGATTTATCTTGCTCTTGTCGAGATGATGACATAAATGATTCTCGTTTACTTGTTTTTGATCGTTTGGAGCACATTATCGGCTCCGTACATTTCAAACCGTTCCCATAGGCTCTTAAAGAGACCCTGCACCATTTTACCCATGTGCAGACGCAACAGCAGGTTCACCGCTTTCATAGCCTCCTACAAGCAGAGGCCTCCGACTGTGTGCGTGCATCTACCATTAAAATCGCAGGGAACAACAATTAGGCCTATATGCAACATTTCATTTGGGACTAATGTAGGCCAGATGTATTCTATCCATGCATTGTTCAATTAATCACCTTTAAATATTGTTTGTTGTGGGGAAAACACCTGCAAAAATTTACCAGCTCAATTTCTAATGTCCGATTGGGTGTGATGTCAGTTGTCCAGTGCATTACAATAGTTTTACCCATGTTTCAAAACCAGAATAGTTTATCACCTTTTTGCGCATTACCAAAATTAGTATTTTGCAAAAAGGTGGTATATACAAAGGTGTCTTAAGTCATGTTGAGAACTCTTGAAGCCAAAAGGTCGACTGTCACAGATCTCCATTTTATATTTAGGCCTCGTCAAAGCTGGTATCCTTCATTGCTATCACACCATTGCATCAGGTTTCAGCTGTCTGGAGTGTGTCCCATAGCTCCATGGTAAATTCTTCTCTGCCTTGGGGCAAATGGCAGTTAGAGCTGGCACAGTGGGCGGCAGTGGAGGAGCCGTGTACGTGTTAAGCATTTGTTTGACTGATATCAGCTTGTCATAAGAGATAATGTATGAATGGCATGTGTTGGCTAAATGAAGAGCAGGTGGTGGTTTGCATTGTGTCCTTGCACATATTGTTCGTTATTGTATCTTCTATGAGTTTTTTTAGATAACAAAGGGGAAGTGGCGGCTGCGTGACCTGCTCTAAACCCTAAGTAGTAACCACGGTGGCTGGGCTGGCATTGAATTTCAAACAAAACGCGCAGGGAGCTTCTCGCTTGGCACCATGGTGGACAAGATGGGGCCCCAAAGCTGTTTGGAATTCAGCTACACTACATGACGGAGCCCTCCTCCTTGAACCCGCTCCCCTGTGGGCTTTACAATGAACACTTGCACTGACAAGTTATCAGTTGTTTGTATGCAACAGCACAGTTCTTAGATATTGGGTTACTCACACAAGGCAATAAACATAGCGGTCTATTTTAGAGGACCACTCTCCCAAGCTTCAGTTTCAAAAGCAATTAAATGTACCAATCAGGTCTTTGCAAGAATTTAGGACAACATTAACAAAAATCTTTTTGTCCTGCATTAATACAATTTAGGTTATCACATCTTGTTTCCACTGTTTTCAATTAATATAATTCTAAAGTATCAAGAATCAATCTGTTTTTTTACTCTGTGTTGTTAGGAACACTATAGGATTTGTATAGGCTAATATACTGTAACTACACCTGTAGAGACATTAGATAGTACGTTTGGGAAAGGCAGACACACTTTGTCGACAGGGCAAAGGGTGAAGGTTCAGTGTAAAACAGAGAGATTATAGAGCCTATACTTAATGTTTCTGTCGAGTCCTTCTGATCTACATGTATCATAACATTTCATTCATCTATTACGATCTTTCTGTTTCCTATGGTTTAGCATAAGAATTTAAATTTGTCCTCATATAATTGGTTTAAACAAGGCATATAACTTAAAATGTCGACCACAGTGAGTTTTGGTATGTTTTGGCCTATTATATGCCTGTAATTTACATTACACATTGTGAAAATGGCTATTTTATGAGTTGCAGGCTATGGCTATGGCTTGGGGTCATGAAGGCCAACAGGTGTCATGTTATGTTATGACAGTTGAAGCAGCGCTCAGGGCTCTAGAGTTTTGGAACCAATAGCTGAAATTTTTGGGTGTACATTGTTTTCTGTCTTGTGTATGTCATCAAATCAATGTTATACAACTTAACCAAATTGAAAAATAATGCGAATGTTGTCACTTCTTTCTGTGGATATGCAGATAACTGGAGCAATCCTGCTGGCAGTTGGAGTATGGGGGAAGTTGATGCTTGGCCCGTACATCTCTCTGATCGCTGATAACTCCACCAATGCTCCGTACGTCCTCATTGGCACTGGGACAGTAATCATTGTCTTTGGCCTGTTTGGATGCTTTGCCACTTGCAGAGGAAGCCCATGGATGCTGAAGCTGGTGAGAGCCTGGAAGAGAAAATGGTGGTTAGTTTGCCACAATGAAGCAGTAATAGTTTACCTCTATCAGTTTAACCATAAAAAATAAGATAAGATTAAGATAAGATTGCTTTATTTATCTCACAGAGGAGAAATTTACATGTCACATTTGGCATGGATAGAGACACTCAGATTGTGCAAAGGGAGGAAATGTGCAAACATGTTACATGCAGGATATATGTACAATAAAGTGACAATAATTATGTACAACAAAAGTGACAAGTGTCAATTGGAAACAGTGTCAATAGTAGTGCAGGTTTTCACACAGTGATCATTTAAAGTGACTTATTGTACAGTCTGACAGCGGTGGGGATAAAGGCCCTGCGGTAGCGCTCCTTCCTACACTGAGGGTGCCTCAGTCTTCCACTGAAGGAGCTCCTCAGCTCCTCTACAGTCCTGTGCAGTGGGTGGGAGGTATTGTTCATGATAGAGGTGGCTTTGGCTAGCACCTCCTGTCCCTCACCTCCTCCACAGAGTCCAGGGAGCAGCCCAGAGTGGAGCTGGCCCTCCTGACCAGCTTGTTCAGTCTGTTTCTGTCCCGCTCTGTGCTGCCCGGGGCCCAGCACACGGCAGCGTAGTAAATGGCAGAAGCTACCACAGAGTCATAAAAAGTCCTGAGCAGAGGCCTGCTCACTCCGAAGGACCTCAGCCTCCTCAGAAGGAAGAGAACCTTGGAATGACTAGTGTAGTTCATGTGCATGTGGGTCCAGTTTTGTTTTCATTAAGTCATAGGCAAATTTAAAAGGCTACCGTACAAACTATGCAAATTCCACTTCATGGTTCTCTCTCTTTTAGTACGCTATGTTTCTGTCCCTGGTCTTTCTTGCGGAGTTGGTTGCTGGAATATCCGGATTTGTGTTTCGCCATGAGGTAAGCAAAATCTACCATTTTTTATTGATTTAATTACTAATATGTTTGTTCATTTTATGCAGATTAAAGGAACCTTTCATAGGACATACACTGATGCAGTCATAAACTACAATGCTGAAGATGAAGCTAGCCGCGCTGTTGACAATTTGCAGCACAGGGTATGTATTGTATGGATTCAGTAAATAGAAACCATATACAATACAACGCTCTACAATCTCACTATGTACACAGATAACATCAATCTAGTAACAGTAACCACCTTGTGACGGACAGTCAATGGAAATTCATTATTATATGTCAATCGTGATTAATGTCAGGCACTTTGTTCAGGTCAAGTAAGAAAATCTAGCAGTAGCTTAAAACACAAATTGATCCATACAAATCCATGTTAACATTATGTATTGTTAAATAGGCCTATAAAAAGTTTATGGCACACTCTAAGAAATAAAGTGTTGGATTTAATTGTCATTTAAGTTAATTTAAGTTACTCTTAATTCACTTAATCAATTCAATCCAATACTTTCCTTCTTAGAGTACATGAATTACTAAACATTGAGAATCAGTTATATCACACCACAATGCATTGTTACATTAAATTACTTAATCTCTCATGCTCATGCTCATGCTAATTTTTATTTTTACCTTTAGCTACGTTGCTGTGGAGTGTACAACTACACCAGCTGGTTCGGCAGTGTATATTACCCGTCCAATGGTATTCCTGCTAGCTGCTGTGCCAACTCCTCTGACTGCAACCAAGATGACCTCCGTAATGCAACTCTGGCCCCCACCAAAGTCTACCACCAAGTAGGCGCCACCTTCTCTATTCAAAACCATGCAATGTTGAGAGACAAATGTAGACGGTTTAGTTCTCTCAATAACATCTTCCCTCACATATCTATCTAGAAAGAAAAGCAAATGTAAAGAGACCTCCAAAATGTATTTCTATGCTCATACATTTTTTGCGTTATCTTGCCAACTAACTCAGGCCTGTCTTACTTCAGCTCCGCCAATATAGACATGCTATATTTGTTTTTGATTGTGTCACTAGATTATGTAGATGGCGTTAATGTAGCTGTTGAGATAGTAAACATTTGTCCTCAGCCAAATGTAGTTCTGTCAATTCAGTTTGAGTTGTGGAGTTGGTTTTTTCTGTTTTATTTCTTGTTTTTCTCTGATCTGTGTTTAGTGAATTTAACGGTTGTGTGAAGTCCTTCAAGATAACTACTGTTGTGATTTAGGGCTATACAAGAATACATTGAATTGAATTGAATAGTTTACTAAAGTGGTCCTCTTTCTAGAAAGTTCTGACACCCATTGGCCACCTCAATACATAACATCATCCCCAAGCAGAGGTCATAAATATACCATACCCACCAAAAACTAACTTCCCCCAAACCCTTCTGTTTCAGGGATGCTATGAGCTGGTCACTTCATTTATGGAAACTAACATGGCCATCATTGCTGGAGTGACATTTGGAATAGCATTTTCACAGGTGAGTGGTTATTTATCACACATTATGTTTTACTTTGGCTATTATTTTCATTCTAAATGCATATGCTTTTAGATGGCTCAATTATAAACACAATTCCAATACATTACCAAACTTGTTTTTTTGTCTTTCAGTTGATTGGCATGCTCCTGGCCTGCTGTCTGTCGAGGATTATCACAGCCAATCAGTATGAAATGGTGTAGTTGGGCAGAAGGTATAACAAAGCAACTGATTTGATTCAAGCTATATGTTTTCTTTCTTAAATGACCCTTGGACTTTTTTTCAAAGGGCAAAAAGAAGACATCTTGGAGACAGAGAAGTAAATTCCCCAAAACACATGTCTCTGTCTGTGATCTTAATATAATATGTTAATGTATTTTACTGTAAAGCATCATTCCTTGACTCACTGCAGATACATCACAGCTTTTGATACCATACATTACCCTTGCACAGTGTAGTATTGCCCCGTTCACAGCCTGGTGTTCCACATATATAACAGGGAATAACATTGGCTTCTGAAGAGGTTAGTTACTGCATGTTCCACTAACCAAGTCGTTGCACATGATTTCCTTTGTACAATAGAAAAGTAATTCTTTGTTGGACTAATTGTTTTTCTCTTCGTGTATATCCCTTTGATTGGGATATTTTGCAAATTGATTATTGATAGTATTGAAAGAGACATTTTATGTGAATATTTTGATTAAGAAAAATGGCCTGTTTAAAAGAAAGCTTTAACTATTTCTGGCATGAGCATATATTTTTTAATCATTTACATAAAGTCAGGATATTGTATGTTAACAATGTTGCTGAAAATATCAAATCTGCTCTTTTAAAGCTTAGTATCTTAGACCCTCCTCTGAGAGAATCATTTGTTGGAAATTAAGTATTATCTACCCTATTTTAATGCATAAACATTTATGTAACTCCAAGTGAGTCCTTTTTGTAAACTTGCTGTTCATTCTACACATCTTTTAGCATGTCGGTTTACTGTATGTTGGAGAACTCGAACGTAACAGTAAAGTATTGTTCTCACAGCAGTGTGATCATGTATTTGGGTGTGACAATGAAACTTTTAGTTTAATTGAGAATCACAGTGACAGCACACTTTAGAAGCATTGTTCTGTAGTAGCTTGTTTACAGTAGTTTGACTCAAAATTGTGATGTATTGGATATGTAATTTATACAATATATTGTTTCTCATTTTGACAAAAGAAAACTTGTGTTCCAGCTCGCCTGCACATTGTGCTGTAAATAGATACTTGATAGAAATCATGCCGGGATGTTGTGAAATGTTTATTTTATTTTATTTGTTTACTTTGTTGGAGTATGATGTAGTTGTTTCATTTTTGTGCATTTATTTGTATTTTTTGGTCCACTGAGAAATATTCAGTGTCTGTGTTAATTATTTGTGTTTTCTTTTATAAAAGAAGACTTCAGTTGAATGTTGAATTTTTATTTTGGTCAGTAGTTTGTTGTAGCCTAGAATAATACTGTCACGTTGAAGAATGTATGTTATAGTTACAATGACAGTGTCTGCTCCTCATACTTGGGACGTTTCTGAATTTGTATGTAATCTGTACAGACCATTCTAGACTTTCCAGGCAACCTCAAACTGATCCTGACTTGTAAATATCAAACTGAAATTTCCTTCATCTACACACGAGGTCACTAGAGACCCATACAGAAATTGTACCATGCTGTCTACTATCAACCGAGTCACCATCAGTGGTCTTATTATCAATAAACATAAATAAAAATCTTTTTTGTCCATCTATCTATGTTTGATACATTGCTCGTTGAAAAAAACATCTTAAATGTGGATTCCATAGGCCTGTAGCTATGTGTAACTATCCGGTTCTGCTTACGTTGCAATCTAAATATTTGGCTAGAACATATCTGAACCAGTCCAGGTCTATAAATATCTCAATTAATGGAAATGCAGTGAAATTTGTGCAGGCCTAAGACTGTGTCCGTGAGACACTCGGCCTGTAAAGATTCAGCGGAACATCGCCACGTGCCTTTCGCATCTTTACCGTGTGGCGGCGCTTCAGCACCGTTTCAAAACGGACTACAGACGCCCCCCTTCACCACCACCACCACCACCACACACACAGACACGCACACATACACAGCGCTCTCTCTCCGTCTCTCTCCCTCTCTCCTTCTCTCTTTATCCCTCTCTCGCTTCCTTTATCCGTCTCTCCCTCTCCCTCAGACACTATACAAACAGGATCGCTGAGCAGCAGGGAGACAAAACGATGCAGTTGCTCACGGAGGAGAATAGGCTGCGCACGTTGCAAACGTGTACGTCGCAAGCTTGTTACGCAAATGAGCGGGAGAAGAGCGCGGCAGTGGGCCGCTAATGGGCCGTGCGTGCCGCTGGCAGAGGGGCGCTCCTGTTCTCGCCGCCCGCCTCCGCCTCCTGACTGCGCTTAATGGGTTATAGGCTGGAGGGAGGGAGACATGACATCCACCAGGGAAGCGCTATTACTCACTCACACACTCCGCAGTTAAGGAGGGCACGGACGCTTTCGAGTGCAGAAAGCTGAATAGAACATATAGTGAGCAGAATACCTATTTTGAGACATTTTGGTGACAGTAACGCTACTTGATTTCTTCAAGTAGTTGAAACTGTTTATCCTGTTATATTTATATATTTAAAGAAAATCTACCATAAATCGCTTTGATAAATGGGCTGCATGCATGGGTGCAGTGATTGTGTGCCAAAGGCTCCTCACTGCGATCGCGGAAACGCCTCACTGGAGGTGGAATCCTGCGCTCTCCCAGTGGCACTGCTGCGCTCCTGCGATGACTCCCACATACACATGAACGGGATTTCGAACGGGGCTTGCCTCAGCGAGTCGTGTAGCCCTGTGCACGGGGCGACGACGTGCTATGGTTGGAAGAATAGACATATAATATACAACACATGAGGTCTCATCCAATAGGATCCAACATCCTATTGGATGTTTTGGATTGCACCATAAAGACTTTCTTTGTGACAACTTTCAGTTATAAGGAACTCAACAAACCGCTTTTTGCAACTTCTTTTTTGTTGTTGCTTTCTTCTTTTGGTGTTGATGATGACACCCGCCGTAATCCGCTTCGCTCCAGATGCTCAGCCAAAGACTATGGATCCAAAAGTCTATGGATTCATTCAGTCATCTCTCTGACAAGTGAAACGACAGTTGTCTATGAGGGGGTGATGATAGTCAGCTCTGTGGAGGCATGCAGGACTCTCATACCACTTTTATTGACCTGCTTTTAGCTGTCATAATTAGAAACTATAGGCCAAATAGGCATTAGCCACAATGGATGTGATAGTGAGACACCAAGAAAATGGTCCCTTGAGAGGACCCACAGTTAAAATAATGTAGTTTTACCTTTTTATCATAATCAAGATAACACATACAGGTCAGAGCAAATTCCTTTCTTTTCTTCAAGTTGAGACTCAAGTTGGAACCCAAACCTATCCAGCCGGTTTTACATTGCACCACAATCTACATTCCCACAATACCTGCAGAGCAACTGTAATTCCTTTATGAGTTTCATGGCAGTGACTTCTGTGCCCTTTTATGGCATATGAAGCCAATCCTTATATGTATCTTTCTGTATGTTCCGGTCTAGGGCAGTTTTTTTTGAAGGAACGATCACATAATCAGAATATGGCCTGTGAAGCAACCTTTTCTTTTGATGGCATTCCGAATGCTGAGAGTGTGCAACGCTTAGGCCAACATGTGAAAACTTACCGACTGCACAAGGCTCAAGTTTCAAACAGCACAAACAAGTTACAAATCCGTGTTGCCATATGAGAAAGGAGACCCCTGTTTACAGATTTGCACTTTGCCAACAAACACAGTGGTCGGACATTGGGTGTTTAAAAGCGTGAAAGTAGCAATATGAGAAATTTTCGTGCCATGTCATCATTAAATGCCTAATATGTCAAAAGGCATTAATAAACCTTCTCTTTTCAAATACTTATTTAACTGATAACAGTAGTTCAGCCGAGATATTTGGATTTCAAATTTAGTTTTACAGCCCCTAAATCTTGTTATTGTTTTTATTTCGATGTCCCGCCCTCCACCATTTTACCAATCAGAAAGTCCTTGATCTGGGTTGCCAGAACTCACAGGGTACACACAGTACACAGGTCTCGTTCATCATTAATAACAAAACAAGGAATAAAACTAGGATTTCTATCTTTGTGAAAGAGGTGTTGGTTATAGATTTGCTGTACTGTTGTTGCTCTTTTTTCAGATATTATGGTCCCAGCTGGATTCATCTGCATATCTGACAACCTGAGTCAGGGAGAGTGCAGTACCACATTTGGCCAGATTTTTACACATTGCTTTTTAAGATTAAAGGTTTATAGGAGGATTATCTACTTCCGGGTGGCTCATCAAGACTCCCAATTGTCAATCATTCTGGTGATACGTGTTCGTCAAATAAGACCAGCGAGTTTTGTTCAAAAAGGGCAGCGGGCAATTCTTTCATAACATTTGGGCATTTATTTCTTTAAGCTTGGAATTTTTTTTAATTCACCCACAGTGGGGAAATGTCAGTGTTGCGTCACAAGTTACATAACAGTGGGCATGAGGGGCACACAACACAAGATAAGTTAATGTTAAATATAGCACAACTCTCTACTTAAAACAAATAAATACAAAAACATCTATTTTCATATTCATGAAGAAGCAAAGTGTATTCACAAGTATAATTAAAAATCCGGCCACGTTCATTTAGCATTACACCAATAATTGCCATAAACGATGACTATACTTTATATCAGGCTATGATACTTCTGGTAGGAAGGACATTTAGGCATGGGATTGGTGCAATTCGATGCTCGGTTGTGGGCTGATGTGGCTTTATGAATATTCACACTCTCGCCCATCTCTCTGTGTCATCGGAATGATATGCCAGCTGATGAAATGTTATGTTGTTCTGTTAAAAGCCCTCAAATAATCATAGCTCGGGGAAGAAGGCAAAATTGTTCTGGGTATTTGACCAAGTCTGATTTGCTTCTCTTTTGCACTCACAATACATTTATTAAAGTTTTGTTTAATGTATGAATTGAACACTATACAGATGACACTCCCACATGCCACTCTGAAAGCCACGCCTGGTGCCAAGCGATGTTTTCTGTCTCCGGGTGTTACTCCAGGTCAGCGGCTTCCTATTACGCCAGTGGAACTCGACAAACAAGTTTACACCCTGAAACCACCTGCTTGAACAACAGTATAAGTACAAGTGCCTGCGAAAAGAGCAAGCAAGAAACGACAAGAGGCGATAAGGAAACGTCTCCAAGAAGAATCAAGAAGAAAAGAGCGAGATTCCAGATTCACAGACCAACAGCGGCATCCCAGGACAAGAGAACTTTTACTAAACTCAACTTTTTCTTTCTCTATTCCGCAAGAACAAACTCGAAAAAATGATGATGCAGATGCAAGACACGCTCAACCAGAGCACAAACTCCCTCTTCAACGCGATGACCCGTTTTATCGGCGCCGTGAACAACATGGATCAAACCGTGATGGTGCCCAGCCTTTTGAGGGACGTGCCGCTGGATGAAGACCGGGGGCTTGGTTCCCTTAAATCGGACATGGAGGACGGGGACATGTACGGCTACTACCAGCTCTTGAAATCCATCCGCCAGGACATGGAGTTGGGGGTGAGGTGCGCATCGGCGGAGAAGCGCAAGGAGAGCATGGTCCTGACGCGCAGCAGTTCGTCCGCGTCCACAGCGTCGTCTGCATCTTCTGTCGCCTCGTTTTCATCGGAGGAGGAGGAAGAGGAGGAAGAAGATGAGGATCTGCACGAGCAATTTCAGTACCATCTGACCGGATTGCAAGGGGTACTATCCAAACTCACCCAGTCAGCCGTTTCTCTCACAACGCGCTACAAGAAGGAGATTGGAATCGGAGGATGGGGCCAGTGAACTCTGAACTCTGAACGAACTACTTTACATTGTCCTGATCTTGGGAATTGAACAGGACAAGACAGAGCCACGTATTGTTTTATATTGTAACTTTGTGTACACCACATCCCACACTGCACTCAAGTGTTGTACACAGTATATGCTCTCAGCTAATATGCAAACATATTTAAAATGTGTATTTAATGTAATATTTATTACTTCACAAAACGTGTTACCTATAGGAATGATTATGAGATACGTGCTCTGTCGCATTCAACTGAGTTTTCAGACAATGATTTTGCACATGCCAGTGATTGTCCTATCTATGAATGGTCATTCCACCATTGTTCCTCAATGTGACGGAGGCAGCTTTAGCAATGGCTGCCAGTGATCTCAAAGTCACAATATCAATGAACTGGAATCTAAAAGTTATGTTTCCACGAGATGTTTTTTTCTTCTCTTTGTTTACTTGGCTGACTGAGATTTATGGATCTCAGTCCTACCACCAGTTTGTCCATCATTGTAAAGTTTTCAATAAATTTTTGTACAAGTCAATATCCTGCTTTGTTTCTTTCTAAACTGCCTTAAACTTTAATATTCAAGAACAGTTTTTAAATAACGTTTTCTTTTATCATTTGATGATAACTCCTGAGCAAGATTTCATAGCCTTTTCATTAAATAAAGCACATCTTATCTTATCTTTTTCACATGCGGCAAAGGGTCTAAATATTTTCCTGAAACCCAAGGATAAGTATATGGGAGTTTAACTTCAACTGTGGAGATAAAACAAAACATAAATCCACATGTGCACATGAACACACATAAACATGGAAACAAGTTGAGTTTCCATTCTAGATAGGGAACAGATACATTTTCTGGAGATTCATATAACCTACCGTATTCTCAAACCATTAACTTATTTAAACCCTATCATTAATCCATTTCTCTATCATTACTCCAGAAATGGAGTAATGAATGATAGGGTTGATCTAATGATAAACAATGTTTGTCATGGAGGCTATATAGCATTTCATACCTCATAAAAAAGACAGGTCCCCATAATAATAATAATAATAATATAATGTCAATGAACCCAGTATTTAAAATTCATATACATTTATACACATACATAAACATATACACACACACACAGTACATACTTGCCTATATCCACGTGCGCAGCGAGTCAACGCTGCTTTTTGTCCCTCGCAAATCACCGTAGAGACAGGAACTGCTCGCAAAACTCATGGTGAACCTACAAGAAATCCAAACAAAGGGAAAATATAATCAACAGAAGCATCATCCAAGATGTTATCCTTATTTAAAACGTCTATTGAAAGTTTAAAAAGATCAGACAACCATTCCCAATGCGTATTTTTCAACACAGACACAGATGACCATCGATGTGTAAGTTCCCTCCTCATTGAGATAGCTGTGTTACCCCAAAAGTTGTCGAAGCAGCAGCCAGCTATGTTTGCTTAATGAAACTAAAATATCTGAGCTCTGACTGTCACAACGATGTTAAGAGCAGCTTCTGATTAGCTAACTACGTGTCAAGATAAGCTAGCATGAACTGTCGAGATAACAGTTTAGAAAACGCTACAGACTACTTATGCAGTTTATGTTTTAGATGCTAATCAGTAGCTACCAAACTTTTTAGGCAATTTTATTTTACTCTGTGTTATTTCGACCTAAATTCTTTTAGATTTCCACTACGTGCAATATGACATTAGTCCTGGGTTATCATTTATCCTGTTGTCAGAGGGGAATGCAGAATGCAATGCTGCTTTGCTTCAAGCTTTTTGTTTCAACAATGCACTTATGCAAACGACCTATTTTCTAAGTCTTAACCCAATAACTTTCACTAACTTTGTGTTGGTGGAGAACTTGCATCAGGTGTATCTTTGTTTCTTTAAGGCTGACTTTGTGGCTTTTATAATATAGGAGCTTTGACAGCTGCAAGTTTCTGTACTGTGATGACTACTCTACATCTGTATTTTCATGAGCATACTCTTTTATTGCTTTTCATTCTGTACAAGCTTTGTAAATTCTTCAGGCGTCAACCTTAGATACAGAACTATGCTGAATTTCAACTCTCTGCTTCAACTATGCTTGTTCTTCTTGGTTGTATAAACATGCATACAACCGTTTACATATTAATGTAAAATGCTTTTGCTTTGTGCTAACTCAAAGTAATTTATTTGCAATTTCACATTGAAGTAATAGTCATAGAATATTTGTTTTAAACATCAGTGACCGGATAGTGCAACTGTAAAAACAGGTCTGTTTCTTTCAAATGAAAGGTAATAGCAACAAACATTCTGTTTAACAGAAAACAAGTAGCCTTTATAGATAGGATGTTTATTAATCTATATCAAATATTGATAAACCAAAACTCGTAGGAGACGGTACACTTTCAATTAAACTATTAAAATTGTATTTATTCTTAAATCACTTACAATTAATTAATCAATTTATAAAAGATAACATTAAAAATAAGGGTATTTGAGTAATATAATTTTAAGTTCCATTTAAAAATACAGATTCAAATATATGTATGCCACATTGCCACCTGTGATTTTTGGGCACAACTAAGCATAATCTTGCTACCCCTTGAACAAATGTTTTCAGTAATGTATTTGTATTTGATTTATAGGTGGTGATTCTGACAGTGAAACGGGCCACAGGAACCTTCTCATTAATGGGCTGGTAAATGCTGCATGAATTTATCATTACATTTTACCTGACAGAATAAATGTGGTATCATTATTGTGGCTTGTACACAGTTTCACTACATATTGTTTATATTATCCAAGAAACCCTTTTATGATAAGATAAATTAATCTTGGACTTTACCCAATTGATAGGGTCAGACATTTTTCTAATACTGTCAAATTGTTAGTTAAGCCATTATACTGTGTGTGCCCACAGCCTTTGGATGTTGTTTGTTATTTGGCTTCTTCGAAGATATAACTCTGTTGCACAGGTAAATACAAAATGTTCCTTTCTTTTCTTTTCTCATCTTGGCAGACTATATTTCCTGAATTAGTGAGCCGTCTCCAACTGAACCCTGCAGAACCAGTTGATCGAGTCGAACAATACGTTCACATAATCCTCATAATCTGGAGAAAATGACATGTTAGATTGGATTGATGGATCCTATTACTGGTGGACCAGGTCACGAAGCATAACCCACTCTGCCCACCTCACCGCGGCATTCTCCTTCTTTTTGCTCTCAGGCCGCATAATGCCTCTCCTTCCCTCCATCCCCTTACAAAGGTTATCCATCAGTCAATAGTCTTTAGTGCTCTCTGGCCCTCCTATGCTCTTTTTTGTCTCTAGATATCCTCCTCCCCCTTCTTCACCTTCTGTTACTTGTTTTTAGCAAGGGTCACCTCTTTGCACAATTGAATAAAGGGATTTGTTGGTGTCAGTGAATATGGTTTCTATTTGCATGTCACGACTGGGAGGAATGATAAACAATATGAGGTTAAGATAAACAGCTAACTTGCATAGTAATTAAATCACTGAATTATTTCATTACCAGTGCTATTTCAAAATGGAATAAACTGCATTTTGCTGCCACTACAAATGGATTATTATTTTTTATCTTACAGAAGATGATCTTGAGCCTCACGATAGCAGCCTTTTTTGACAGTATTGCATATGTCATGGTATATCATTTCTATTTCCACTAAATTCATGGTTGAGAAACCAATAAATACCATTTTCTTGTTGGTGCTTATTTATAGGGAGACTCCAATTTGCAGGGCTCGCTTTGTGACTTCCAAGCCTGGTGGCTCACCTACTTTGGTAAGTGGTTTGTAGGGTATACGTGGTCCTCATAGGTTCATGGAAACACTTTCATGTTCATTACAGAGATTATTATCTCTTTCTCTCTCCCGTAGGCTAATTAATACAATTAATGTAGGGGAAATGAAAACACCCTTTAAAAATTCTAATTATGTTATGCCTTTGAGTCATTTAAAGAGGTAACAATAACACATGTCTTATAAAATTCGATGGCATTGTTTAATCATGAAATGGTTATTATTGCTTTTATATTTACTTTGGTCAGTATTGCGTGACACCTTACTCCAGACCAACATAGAATAGGAAAAAAAAGTAGATGATGGCATAACTTTCGTGTTTGTACTTTCACTATGACAATGACATTTACCTCACCTGTACTTGATTAGTACATTTCATTCTGTGCTCTTACCTGAAGGCCACACCTAAATTATTAGTATTGAGTGTCATGTTGATTATTGGTTTACCCATGGCTACATCATTCTTAAAGATTGTGAACCAGTCTCTTGTTATGTACAGTGCCTTGAATAAGTATTCATACCTTATGAACTGTTCCACATTTTGCCATGTGCATAAGATGACTATACAATCTTCTAGTGTTTCTTCTATCTTCTTCTTACGTCTTCCGCTAGATTTTGGCACTTTTCAACCCTTCAACGCGTTCACCAAATCCTTCACTGTCTCATTATTGCTATTGCTTACAGCACAGAGTAACTTACAACACATACAGCACCTCACCACACATAGAGCACCTTACAACTCATACAGTCTATGCAGCCACTCACAATGGCTTCAGCCATTGTACCATTTCTTGTTTGATTTATTTGTGTGAAAAAAAAACTACACATAGTGGCAGATATTTGTAAAGTGAAATGATTTTATTGTTGTCAAAATGAAAATTAAACATTTAGGGGGAAAAAACAATCAACTCCTCCCTCTGGCAGAAGCCAATGACAATACTTTTCTATTGATATATACCATATATTTTAGAATTAAGATATTTCACAATCTAAAACATTAAATTGCAAAGTAGGTCGACTGATTATAATTTTGAATGACCAAAATATGACCTCATGTTTATTCTTTAGAAGACCTTGTTCACTTAAACAGAGTCAAATGTTGTGGTGCTGTTTTTCTTCAGATGAGACAGGAAAAGTGTGGAATTTGAAAAGGTGGTTTAAAACAAAGCGTGTTCATGTGTTAGAAGCCTACATTTTTTGGATTGACTATTAGATATTTACTATACATTTTGACCATTCAAAACAATAACTTGTAGATGTAATTTATAGAAGCCATGTTTCACTAATGGAATTATAAAATCTAAAAAGATAAGAATGCAGTGATTTAATATAATCAGAAATAGTAAGAAAGAATATTAGACAAAATTGCTCATAAAACATTGTCAAAACATACAGGGTACGTGGAAGGCGCTTAATGAATTATAACATAAAAGACATAGAAACAATGAATGTGTTAGTTGTTTTAATAAATACAATCATAAAATAACACATACTAAGGAAATTGAGTTTAATGAGCGTTATGTAAATATACATGTAGGCCACAATTTAGCCAACCAAATTATTCCAACTCAAAATAATTAAGTGAAAATTGGTGTCACATTTGAAGGGCTGAATTCATTCTCTTTAAGCCCAACTAGTGATGAGAGAATATAAGAAATTGTGAAAGATTGTAAAAACAATAATGATGGAAAAAATGTATGGTGGTATCCTGTTAGTGTGATCATTTACAGTATGGATGTTTGTTAAAGTGCTTAATTTTGCTTTCAAATGAAATGAAAAAAAAAAAAAAAGAATGGCCCAGTCAAAAGATCAATTCAAAGTGAGAAACTCTCAAAAGATATAACATTTTTTTGTGAACAACTGGGCGACACGGTGGCTGAGTGGATAGCACTCTCGCTTCTCAGCAAGAAGGTCCTGGGTTCGAATCCCAGTTGGAACAGGGTCTTTCTGAGTGGAGTTTGCATGTTCTCCCTGTGCCTGTGTAGGTTTTCTCCAGGTACTCCGGTTTCCCCTACAACTGATTACATGCTCACTAGGGTAAATCCTCCAGGTAGTCCTGAACACCTTTTAGTTTTAATTTGAATAGGATTTTAGTTGGGCAATCTCCTCCGCCCTTTTTCTTCTGCCAGCCAGTGCTCAGGTTGAAAAAATAAAAAATACTGCTGTGTTTGTAACGTGTTCTTTCCATCTCTCATTCATGTATACTGAAATTGAATATTGAGAGTCAGTTACTGTCACTGCAGCTGAACTCCAACAGTTCTGTTGATCCGGTGCAATGTTTTACTCGATTTATTGTTGTCTGTTCCTGCCCTGTTTCTTTTTATGTCTGTGGACCATTGGTGTCCACAATAATTATTGCAATAATAGTAATATTCCAGATGGACAAAATGATGCTCACCACATATACACAAACTGCGCTCCACATACTGTATTTGTTTTCATTTCTTCAGCCCTCACCTAAAGCCACAGGTGTCCTTCATATTACTACTACATATGTATGTGACAGCTGATTTGTTCTGGTAGCTGTGTTGTTTGACATTGTTTATCTGTCCCTACAGACTGGAGTGCGCTGGCCTGGGTTTGCCTCATCACGCTAAACCTTTACTTCAATTTGGTTTGTGAAATAAGTACCAACAGATTTGAGATGTGAGTAGGATGCATTTTGTGACTAGTTTTATGATCCACATTCACACTGGGTCTGTATTCCCTGGTTTGCTGAATGTTTTTTGTGGGTCAAAATTCTCACCTGTTGTTTATCTATCAGGCAGTAGCTATCGATTATATTATTTATTGAGTATTCTATTGATTATTACCATTGATCAATCAAGTAATCTATTCATTACACCCACAATTGGGCGACACGGGGGCTGAGTGGATAGCACTCTCGCTTCTCAGCAAGAAGGTCCTGGGTTCGAATCCCAGTTGGAACAGGGTCTTTCTGAGTGGAGTTTGCATGTTCTCCCCGTGTCTTCATAGGTTTTCTCCAGGTAGTCCGGTTTCCCCTACCACTAATAACATGCTCACTAGGTTAAATCCTCCAGGTAGTCCTGACCAAGACGAGCATCAACATCTGGAGATGGGTTCCCGGGCGCTGTACTACGGCGGCCACTGCTCCTGACGTAAGCCTTAGTGGCATCAGGATGGGTCAAATGCAGCGGATTGAATTGCCCTGCGGGGATTAATAAAGTGCACCTTTATCTTTACCTTTAACTGCATATAAATTACTGGTATATTCTTTCAACAAAAACATTGTGTTGATATTGTAAACAAACAATCCTGAAATATTGTTCACTCTTCAGAGCACTGTTGATAATAATGATAATAATGATAATAATCTAAATAGCTGTGGGGCGACAGTAGCTCAGTTGGTAGAGCATTGGCCTTAAGGCCAGAAGGTCGTGGGTTCAATTCCTACCTCTCCACCTTCTCCACCGACTCCCACTGATGACTGCTGTCGTTGTGTCCTTGGGCAAGACACTTAACCCCACTTTGCCCAAAAGCCCCCACTGAAAGATCAAGGCTATGCACTCACACTCAGAGAGCAGCTGTCCTCCTGTGGACTCACCACCTGCAGAGGATCAGTGAGGGGCTGGTGCTATGAGACTTGGGTGGCATCTCTGACTGCCACCCCCCTGACCCAGAAATGGATTAAAGGGTAGAAAATGGATGGATGGATGGATGATAATAATAAATGCATCGGTTTTAGATGGTGCTTTTTTGGACACTCGGAGGCTTCACATGTCATTATTCATTCACTCCAAAGACTGTGGTCATAAACTACCCTGGGGCACACTGACAGAAGCGAGGCAGCCAGTATGTGCCATCGGCCCCTCCGGCCACCACCAGCCATTCTCGCTCACACCAGGCTCATTCTAGGCCATGTGGGTGAAGTGTCTTGCCTAAGGACACAACAACAGTTTGGCACTTTAAAGCCGCAGCTGCCCCTGTGGCACCTGGTGTTCCCAGAGGTCTCCCATCACAGTACTAACCAGGTCCTACCCTCCACAGCTTCAGAGGTCTGACGGGATCTGTGCAATAGTGTAATATTTTTTTAGGTACTGGTTGTTAAGTTGTCCCAATTAATCAAGGCAACAGAATTGTAACAAAATCCAACCTTTTTTGTAATTATTTTAGTTTTCACAAATCTGCAATGATTTGGTGTCTGATTGGCTACATGTTCAGAAAATCCTCTCTCCACTGACAAGCAAAAAGGTGAATTGGCGTAAGGAGGCCATTTTAAGCTCAAATATACTGAGCAAACTAGTTCTGTCAGAAGAGGATGAGAACACTGTGACCATCTGAGCTGTGATTGGCTGAACTTTTTTTTACACAATGGTTTATGTTGTTCAGGGATATTGTCTCAAAGTTGTAAACAACACGAAACAAGATCTACAATTTGGCAGTTGTCCATGTCATTGCATTGATTAAATTAGGCATAAAATATCAGTTTTGAGACAGTTGCCGTCCAAACGGTAAGCATTGAGTTTACTTGGTGAATGAAGTTCAAAAACAGGCCTTATTGTCCTATGGAGTTTTATCGTCTCAGTCTTTTGTTTCTTCCTCAGAGTATGTGTTCTGATGTTCCCATCGATGTTCAGCGAACATGCTCGAACTTGGCTAGAAATTACTTTTTTCTGTCAACCTGGTCACTAGATTTTTTCATTGCAAACTTTTCACTCCAGTTCCCAACCGCCAACATTTTTGTGCATTTTAACTTTTTAGTATTTTAGTGAACTGTCCGCTTTGATTGTAAGCATCGTCAGAAAACCTGCAGCTGCGAGTTACCTTTGTGTGTGTGCTTGCGATGTGTTGTGTCTCCCCGTAAGGCACTGGCAGCGCTTCCCTCCCCCTCCTCTCCCTCTTCTGTTGGAAGCAGTCGGCGCTCTAATTGAAATGGGAGTGAGTGTCAGCCGTTAAGTGTGTTCCTCTGTGTGTGCGCGCTCGCAGCCGGCTTCACGCTTTGTGGCTTTGTGTTTCTGTCGCTCAAACTCCCAGGAGCACTCGCTGTAAAGAGTGTGAATTTGCTTGTGCGCTAGTGTCAGATAGTTTCACTTTTTATATGCCTGGTGTTATGCTTTGTGATGTAAACATAAAAAATAAAAAAATAAAATTTTCATTAAAAATGGTCAAAGTTGAACAAGTTAGTAATGATTCTGTGTTCGTAAGTGAAGTAGATGCGTGCTGATATGCTTTGGTGTGCACATCTCTAATGCTGCTGAATGCAAAGAGGTCTGGGTGGTAAAAGGAGATGCTTCACCCCCATGGGAATTTCCCTGCATTGATTAGCAATAAGGCAGACGATAAAATGGTGGTATAACTCAGAGAGTGACAGCTTTATGGTCTGAGGAAAGAGGCTTGCTTTAGGACCAAAGTCAGTCCGTTCCGAGCCTTATCAGTGCACACCTCTCATGAGTCCGGAGGGATTTAGGTGGATGGAGGATATGTCTGTTTTTGTGTGGCTGATCATACATGAAACAGAAGGGGAAAAAACACACTGCTTAATAGGCCAGAGCAGAGCGAAGGCTGGAGCATCAGGGGGGCTGTCATATATCGACCGTGGATAGATAAGCTCTATGTGTTTAGACAGGCAGCTGCACGACTTTGTATGCATGCACATTCGACCCTCCCTAACCCCCCATCTTTTCTCATCTATACCATTGCTTGTAATCGGCACAGTGCAATGGTTTATGAATGAACGAATCACCAGAAGAGACCGTGAGCGTAGGTTGAATGATCTAACCGTGATTGGAGTGGGTGCATGCATGGAGAGAAGTGTTGGCTTGGAATGTGTGCGCTGCGAGCAGGTTTTCGAGTTTTCAGAATCTGTTATGTACGCTCTGGGCACAGGGGTAGCGAAGAGGCTGAGAATGGAGGTGAGAAATAAGATTAAGCCTCAAGAGAAACGTCTATGCAGACACTGGTGTGTGCGTGAGATGCACCGCTCACAACACTCCTGCTGTGCCTCATTAAGCCCATGTTGTGCGCTGCCTTGGACCTCGTCATTTCTCTGGCTTTGCGCTGTTTGTGTGCTGTGTGTGTGCTAGAGAAGCGGCGTGTGAGGCATCGAGGGCTCGGAGCTTGCAGCATTGATTTTCCGACAAGCCCCCCTCCCCTCTGCACACACGCACGCACACATTACCACCACTTGTCACGCTCCGCAACGGCAGCCGTGATTTCACTGTTTGTGTCTCCCCTCCTACAGCAAGCTTACTTCCTCTTAGTCATATTTATGCTGCCATCATACGTTTATTCATCATGACCCACTGGGAGTTCAGTCAGCATAAGTCAACATTTAGAATATTTTTTAGTCACCGTTATGTTATAGGCAAGAAATTTGACTATTGTAGGATTGAAAGGTACTAAGATTTTGTCAGCCATTCAACAGTTCGATTGACCACACTGGTAACATAAATCTATGGACTGGGAACTGCTGTGTGGTGCTCTATTACTTACCTAATAATTACCACACGGTTACATTATTTGTATTTGTAATGCCCTTTGCACCAGTGAACCCAAAGGTTCTATAGTAAGTGTTTAAAGAGGTTAAAATACAATTAATTGACACCTACACTTTGGTTCTTTGAAGGAGACATTTGCTCAAATAATGTTCTGTAGGAAAGATAATTGAGTGTGTAATGACTGACTGTTTTATCTCTGGTAATTGGCAATCTGGGTAATTAGACATTTTTCTCTGTGTATGTCAAAAATGGCCAAAGATTGTGACAAAAAGGCAGATAAACATTTTATAGATACAAATGTTTGTTCCTCATCCTCTAATCTATTATTTCCACTTTTACAGTTTTTACCATCTGACCGCATGGGGGGTACCCTTGGTCATGGCCTCTCTGCCCCTGCTTAAGGGCGTTTACGGCCCTGCTGGAGGTTGGTGGTGAGTCCAGCATGCTACTCAATCTATCTGCTCTTAACGACTGCATTCACTCCAATAATCAACAATTGATATTATGTTGTAATGTTTTTTTTTTTTGATAATTTCACTCTATGAGTTAAAGTATTTTGAGATTGGTAAATTGTGAGAAAGGAAGCAAAGATGGAGGGGATCTGGGACAGAACTGTAATCTCCGGCCTCGGCTCCTTTTCCACTCTGGGCTTATTAATAGCTACAGCTGCACAGCCTTTCCCTTCCTCGGTCACACAAGTCTGCTTTCCGCTCGTGCTCTCCCTTCCCTTTGTAACCCTCATCTCTCCCTCTCTTCCCTCAGCTGGATCACAGGCGATCACGTAGCCTGGAGATTTGGGATGTAAGTAGACCCTTTCAGCGCTACCATCAAAGCTTTCTCCCGAACGTGGCAATGGGGGGTGGGGGTTTCTATGGGGAAATGTGAAGGGTTGTATGTCAGGGGAGTCTGTGTTTTTTCTTGCTGTGGTTCAGGGCCCAAAATGTGTGTGAATGCTCATGACTGCTTCTGATTTATCAAAATAAGGAGACAGTCAACATTATTTTTAGCTTTTGGGGCGTAGCTGTGTTATGATTACTGGTATATCATTTGATCACATTTTGAAACCGGCCTGCAAAACTGTCATTACATCACCATGAAACAGACAAACCCAGACATACACATCTGTTTGCCACAATGAATCGTTCACAGCAACAGTAGGGCACATGGACGCCCAAACCTTACTACAACCCATTGCCAACATCAATGCTAAACGAGCCTGCATGTCTTTTATCCTGCTTTTGCGCTGAGCTCTGTCTAGTTTTCCACCCTATTGTAGCCCAGAGGGACACATTGCTCAAAGGATCAGGGAATCTTCATTAGCTCTAATTATATCAAACCAGACAAGATATTAGGCCAAGGCACCAGTCATCAAGAAGGAAATGCATCTTCTTGAATTTGCAAACTGCACTGACAGCTGGCAGGCAAAAGCACATGAGGGCAGCGGTTGCAGTTTTACAGGTGGGGAAGTGGGAGTCAAACCATATGAGCTACGCTTAGTGTGACGGAAAAGTGAGAGAGAGAAGGGGGCGACGTAGCCTGACGAGAAGGAGTGAGAGTCAGAGAAATAGATTGCCCTTGTCTCTGCCCACGCTGCGTAGTGTGTCTTCATCAGAGTTCAGCGAAGCGCACGAACAGGACACGAGAGGTGGGTGGGAAACCTCAGCGGAGATGGACGTATTAAACAGGATGAAAGGATGGAGAATAGAAATCAGGAGACCACTGTGTGACGTAGGAGCGTAATTTCCAAAATTTCAGTCACCGCAGATGGAAGTATACTATTATAGCATGTCTTTGGTGTAACTATTAATTACCTGAACCCCCTATAAATCTCTTTTGCCCTTAAACGACACTGTCTACTCATTAAATTGTTAGATGTTTAAAGGCATATTTGCTTTAGTGTTAACATGTCTTACAAACATTTACTTTTAGTTTTATAATGTAATAAAGCAGGAAAAGGAACTTCTATTGAATGCATAACTACGGAGCTTTCGTACTTCTCTGTCGTGGTGTTGGATTGTGAGATTTCATAACACTTTTAAGCAACTTTTGTTAAAGTTAAACATCATTCTATCAATGTGCAGAAGCCAGTACTTTTCCCTTGTTTTGTCTATCTGAAGGCCAAGCTACATGGCACTGTGGCAGCTGCTGATTGGAGGTCTCCATGCCTCCGCTCTGTATAATACACTTGCATTCTGTTGTTCGTGTGCTTTGTTCGTGCTGTCTCTACCATCGACAGATGAAGTTTGGTATTTTACTGAAGATTGTTGACGAGTTTATGCAATGCCATTTCCCACCCAAGCAAGGCGCCTTTGATATCTAGGTTCACCGCGGCTCACTCCTTCTAAATGTACCTTTTAATGCAGACCGCAGAGAGAGGAGCTGTCTACACACATTGTTAATTTGGCCGAGTGGGGGAGGGTCCCGGCTCAAAAAGGTCCATGAGCACGTGCGCTGACATGCTTGCAAGCTGGCTCCTTGTTGGCGTACCCGGAAACAATATTATCCAATGCAATGTTATGGCTCCCTTTTTCCTTTCAAAAACTGCTTTATAGCCTGGTCCAAAAGTCTGCTCTTGGCTCAACGCTAAGTTCCAGATATGTGTCAATATGGAGGGGAGTATTATTTTTTGGGCCAGTCTAGTTTTTCCGCTGTGGACTTTTGAATTATTGCGTTTTTTCAGGCATGTGTCAGGCTGGATTCATCTAAATCTAATACCTGCGCACCTATACAGCCTCCGCCCCGGAAGTGGCCTGTGACAGCGATCGCATGCGCAAAAGCGAGGGGGCTCCTTGCGGCCATTTTGAAAAGCTACATGTTTATCAGGCATACATTTCAACGGAGGAAATAGGCAATACTACGTCCATTTATATTTACAGTCTATGGTTCGGTCGAACTGGTTTTGGAGAACGCTCTCTACTTGAAGCTATGGAGCGGAGCCAGTGGGCTTTACTGCCTCCCTCCCTCCCTCGATGTTTTTTGAGGAGCAATTGCACAGGAAAATGGACCCCTTGCATCTCCGTTTTTCTGTGATGGAGTGACTCATAGACTGGCAGGACGCAGGGGCTGTGCACCACGCCTCTCCAGCTGCGCAGAGGGCTCTACGTACAGTAAAGATGTGGCGCTTTTCTGAAACGTAACTCAGTTCAGCTCCTCGTACTACTATCACCACATGTTGATTGAGATAAAAACCGTTTAAAGGCCTGAGTATTTCACAGTAGTATTTATGTTGTAACAAAATCGTAACTCATTGTCTGCCATTGACGTCCAAAGACGTCTTAATTTTTCATTATTTTCATGTTCCCAGATTTCTATTATATCTAATATGTATGGGGATTAGCTTTTAGAGCATTTTTTATCGAGCCAGCAGGTGGCACCAGCGCTGCCTCTGGATGTTTTGAAAACAGGATGCACTTGTTGCGCCTCTTTTTCTCAGCTTTTTGTCTGAGACTGGTGATTTCAGTAAAACTTCCCTCTACTCGACTGGGGATTACAGTGGAACGAAACAAGCATGAAACAAAATTCTTTTTGCTGATGAAAATAGACAGTCCATTCTTTCAGAATCTGGTTTCGGATTTAAGATAGTCATAATACACAATATTCTGTGGGTCTTGAAAAATCAATAAAAATCATCAGAAACGGCTGGCAATATGGGAGTACCTGTTCTGAAATAGGCTGGCAGGCAATGAGTTAAGAAGTATTACAAATACAGTCCGGCATCCACCTGTGTTGATCCGGCCTAAGTGTTCTGTGCCAATTTAAACTCTGATCCTATTATTAGATCTATTTATGTAGGAGCGACACAGTGGCTGAGTGGATAGCACTCTCGCCTCTCAGCAAGAAGGTCCTGGGTTCGAATCTCGGTCGGAACAGGGTCTTTCTGAGTGGAGTTTGCATGTTCTCCCCGTGCCTGCGTAGGTTTCCTCCGGGTACTTCGGTTTCCTCTACCACTGAAAACATGCTCACTAGGTTAAATCCTCCAGCTCCGGTAGTCCTGACCAAGCCGAGCATCAACATCTGAAGATGGGTTCCCGGGCGCTATACTACGGCGACCACTGCTCCTGATGTAGACTAAGCCTAAGCCTTTGCGGCATCAGGATGGGTCAAATGCAGAGGATTCAATTGCCCTACGGGGATTAATAAAAGTGCACCTTTATTTCGAAAGGTAATGAGCAGATGTGCTTTCATGAAAGTTGATTATGAACTGGAATGGAAGAGGGCAGTTATCAGATTTTCCTGGCACCCATGTAAATGCCAAGTCTGGGAATCCCCATGCTGCTGTGTGCGCTCAAATCATTTCGAACTGCACAATGGCATGGAAACCATGACAAATCATAGAATGGCGAGGAGCGGCAGAATGACGACACACTATTCCACGGACGGAAGTTGTTTGTATGCGGATCCAACATGACATGAGCTGAGACTTGTACAAACAGCAGTAATCATTCGGCACCATTGTGTAAAGATTCCGTTTTTGCTACCTTCTGGTCTAATTTCTGTTTCTCGACATAATTTATTGGGTAGAATTGATACGATACGATGAGTAGACACATAGGCACACATAAGAGATTTAAGGCGTGCAATAAACTGCTAATGAAATATTCACACCTCTCCTATGAGAAAATAAATGGATGATTCCCAGACTAAATATTCACTTGTGTTAGCCAGGCATAAACTTTAAAATTTAGATTGCACCTACATTTGTTTTGTTCTTTGCTTGACTGAAGGGTTGACAGGGCCAGTACTGCTGAAGTATTGTTTCAAGGAAAATCTGTTTTAAGTTCAAACTCAGCATGCCTTGGATCTGCTCTTTTAAAGATCTATCCACCCCTGTTCCATCGTGTCTTGCTTACGATTCTTCTGCTTTGCCTCCCGTCTCGCGCTTGCTGCCTCCCCGGGTACACTGCTCAGCTGTAAAGCACGGCGGACTCTAATGGCAGATCATTATCATGCTAATTAGAGCACTTTGTAGCTGCCGCCCGTCACTCGCTTTCCCTCGCACCCCCCTCCCTCACCCCCACACTATCGTTAAAAAGGCCACCCCCTCCTTGGCCCTCTCTGCCGTCCGCCCACCCTCGGCCTGTCTCTCCATCATTAACAGGACGTGCGCTGGCGTAATTGGACGCTGTTTATTCCGAGGAGCAGGTTATTAAATCACACAGAGGTAACGGCGGGGCTGATTTCCCCTGCAAATGCTTTCATCATTGCCCACTGCCATTATCGAAGCGAGTTGGACATGCATGTATTTTAACACATCATTGTCATCTTTAATATGAGGTAAAGAGATTTCTCTTTAAATTGTTTATAATTAGCACTATGCTTTTTGTGAAAATTAAAATTATAATTTCAGAAAATTTAACTTTTTTAATTTACACACAATCAATATTATCTATTACATGATACTACACATACATTAGTATTTTGACTTTGGACTGTGTCTTCTAACCTGTGTCTTGGCTTTAGAGCAGTGAGTTCTGACAGTTCGGTCAGACAGTTCTCACTGATTTACTGAAGTTGAACAAAAGTGACCAGAAACCTGTTTTAGCACAACACAAAGGTAGTTCTGTGATTACAAGGGAGAGGTTGAAACTCCTTTGAACTTGCAACACCTCCCAAATGGTTACATAACACCATATTAGCTCAACTACTTTACTCAGCAGGACATTTTTTTCATAATTTAGCTGACACCATTTTGTTCGTCTTGAAAACTGGTGACATAATGGTGTGCTAAATACCAAAGTGATTTTGTCATCTTTTAATAAGAGAATCTGAGCAGCTGTCAACAGATGACAGTATTACTCAGAATAATACTTTATATGAAATAGATGTTGCTATTTCATGTTTCTCTAACTTAAAAGATTCAAAATTATAGTGCAAAAAGCCAAACATAAACTGACATCTTTCGCACTCTTTGTGCAGCTCATGCAGCAACCTTCCTCCTCCATCTCAACGGTGGGACAATCTCTCCTTGTCATCAGCTTATGACTTCAGCTTCCACCACCAGGGTTTACCAGGAGGATTTAATTTGTACAATTTCTAGTAGAGTGCTGTATATTACGTCCCACATTTCTGCCGGGGTCTAAGCGCCAAAACTAACATTTCATTTGTCACTTTCCAGATTGAGTGGACATATGGGGATCTAGAATATGTTTGCACTGTTTAAAAGTGTTGCTTTTGTTTTTCACCTTTATTTTTCTAGATGGTATGTGCCTCTCTTTACACTCATCCTGCTGATGATCTGCTGCTATGCCAGGATTATCTTTGTGGCCAATAAAAGAGTGAGTTAAAAAGTAATAATTATAATATTTTTTTCATGTGGTTTTTAATCCTATTGTTCATGTTAGAGGTGGTCGATATCGTAAAGTTTAGTTATTTATATGCTTGGTTTTGAGAGGTATTCTCGCAGTCTGTTTGTCATGCCTGATGCCCTGCTATCTCTTGGATATCAGGTATGACATGGTAATATGTATGTATGTCTAAACTAATAAAAAATGGTAAACAAAATTTACAAATATTTTTAAAGATTAAATTGAATCATGCAAGATCTTGAATCTCGACCAACACAATTGGATGCATGTACTATTAGCACAATTAGGTCAGATCGCAGTCATCGCCACATAATCTATTAAATAATGTAATTGAAATGCTCAATAACGTCCACTTGTAGTTCCAGTATATTGTCATTATCAGTTGATAATTAAAGTACAATTCCTTTTTCTGTCAAAACTTGTAGTTACCTCTTCGATAGGGTTTCTCCTTTTCTAGAAAAAATTAATAACAATTATATCTAAATCCTAATTTAAGTAATTGTAAGTTATTGTAATCATACATAGAAAACCTAAATGCAGGGCTAACTGTATATATACAAATCCAGTCATTGTTTGCGTCTCTGTTGGTTCGTGTTGATGAGTGTCTTGCAGTAAAGAATGAGCTCAGAGGCCGCATTCCACCATTCCAGCAAAGCCACCACTCCTCTGTTCTGACTTTGAAAACACGCACATCATAAAAGCACATACAAGTATTGCCAAATCCGATTTAGATTGTGTATTTTGTGTAATAGTAGAAAGTAAAACTATTGATCGAGAAGGATATACAAAATTGTGGACAATGATATATCTGACTCTTGACACAGGACAGAAAAGAGGAATTTGACTGCTTTTCTTTAAATCTAATGCAAAGAGTAAATGCCTATAGAGTGTTTGCAACCTGCATCTCATAATTCATGCAGCTCACACCATTGAGGTGTCTCGCCTGCTTGTCTGCGCTGCATGGAATGCACACTCTAGATTCAGCCACCCGCTTTTCTCTGTTATCTCTTCAATACCTTTTTTCTCATTCTGCCCATCTTCCCACCCAGATTTTTTTCTGTTTTTGCATTCAGTCTTGCGAAGAGATTTATTTCTTTTCATCGTCAGTTTCCCATGAAATGATTTCAAAAGCCTTTGAAAGGTGGGTTGATGGCGACGAAGGGGAGTACGGGAAAGGATGTTATAATTTTAAAATCATATGCTGTCAAGGCATCTCTGCTGGATGGTTGTAGTTACATACATGTAGAAAAAAAACAACATTTAGGAATATTTAGAAATGTAGGCGATTTTTACCGGGAATGACTTTTCTGTAAAGAATTTTTTTCATGCTTGCTGATTTAGAGCATTGTGTTTGCATTGCATTGGTTTTATATAGCGCTCTGGACACTCAGACGCTTCACATGTCATTATTGTTTCACTCCATTCACTGTGGTGATAAACTGCTACTGTAACCACAGCTGCCCTGGGGCAGACTCACAGAAGTGAGGCAACCAGTATGTGCCATCTGACCACCACCAACCATTGACACGCACACCAGACTCATTCTACGCAATGTTGGTGAGGTGTCTTGCCTAAGGACACAACATTTTAACACTTTACATCCGAAGCCGCCCCACTGTGGCACCTGGTGGTCCCAGAGGTCCCCATCACAGTACTAACCAGGCCCTGCCCTGTACAGCTTCAGAGGTCTGTTGGGATTTTGCTTTCGCATGTTAGTTTGGCCACAATATTAACATGTTGCTATGTTCAATTTGATTTCTGCATTCAAAGTAGTATGTAAGTCTTTATTTAGACACAACAGTCACATGGCGTCATATAAACAACTTAACTCACATTTTTCAAAAACTTTGACTGACGGACTGAATGACTATCTTGTCAGTTATCTCAACCAAATGCTGCTATGCAGGCTGATGCATTTCTTCTGTTCCTTTTTAGGTGTTTTCCTAAAAATTGACATCCGTTAAATGAATATATTTTAGCGATACTCCATTTGTCCTCCACTTGATACGAACAGTGGGTTTTAAATGGAGATATTTACTTCCTGTCCTTCGGATTACTTTTGTGCCATTGCGTGACGTCAGCTGCACGTGACGTCAGCTTAGCAATATGTTAAGAATCGCAATATAACATTGAGTTGTGGCCAAAATATCACTATTATTGAACCGTCACATTTTTGCTAATTCCCATCTCTCGGCGGCACAGGGCCTTTCAGAGAGGTGTCATTTGCATATTCTCCTTGTTTTTGCGTAGGTTTCCTTCAGGTTTCTCCGGTTTGCCCTTCCACTAAAAACATGCACATTGGTACCATGTTGATGAAAGGTTTTCAGATTAATCTATATAGCTTCCATCATGCAAGACTCATAGAAGCAATAGCAACCAAGACTTGTGGCATATAATCCACTAAAATATTTCCCTAATGCAAGAGCGCATTCTTGGACTCCATACATTTACTTAAATTTACATTCTGGTAACTTCGTTTAAACAAACTGTGCGGGGAGCTGGCTTTGCCCAAATAGCACAAATCTTTCTCACTCATTCTAAGGATGCAAGTTGACATTTTTCCAATAAGAACGAAAGCAGAGATCCGCTATACGTAATTATGCAATTGTGCTAGTCAGTGCAATATTATGGTTTGTGCAATATAGTTGTACCATTTTCTACATTTGTTGTTTATTGATTACTACTTTAAATGTGTCTACTAACATGATGTGATCACATCACTTCACTTTGTTCTTTTCTGTTTGTGTCTGTGTATACAGTGACTGTATAAGTGTATAAATGTTTACTTGACTTTTGGAAATGAACCTAAGGCTATTATCTGGCATGTTTGATATGCATTGATAAATAGATACATAGTAACATGTCTGTCTCTGGATCTAGAGAGCTCTCAAAAAATGTTTGTATCCACTTTTACAGCATAAAACATTTGTTTTATCTCTATAATTACCTATGCATTGACTATTTTTACATTCTTGCATGCTTGTTTCACAGATGCAGTCATGGTTGGGAACATTTAACCCAGAAAGAGAGAGGCGGAAGGTAAATATCCATCCAACAGGTTATATCCTACAGTACACAGGCTACAGTCAAACCTTTTTCAAATTAAAAAACTTGAATAGTTCTCCCATGAACCAGGATTATATTAACGTTATATGTGTAATTCTGTGAGATAGTTTAATTTGGCTTAATACATACAAAAAACATGTTTTCTGCTCTAAAGCACTGATTTTGGTTACCTGCCTTCACTACAGCCACACCCACTTTCTTCAGTTCCTCTTCAGCAGGGTGGAGCAAGTAGACCAGTCAGGTTAGTGCTAAGGTTAAATAAATGCTGCCCCTAAGTGGTAAATAAAAATACATACACACTTTAGATAGACACATTTATTTGTATAGCAAATTATGTAAGCAAAGTAACTGGATGTACTTGAGTATCGATCCTTTCTTGTTGGTGAATAATGCACACTATAAATTTGTGTTAAATTACAATATATTTATTTTTTAAAAAGGTCTACGTGTTTTTACACTTTTCTCACCTCCCTCTTGTGTTCAAACCTAGAAAGTCGTATTACAGTTTAGAAGCTTTTAAGCTTGCTTTAACAATTGCTTCACATTGCTGGGCCAGCACAAATGCTTTCATGTGCCTGGTGTCTGCATACACAACAGCAGGTGAAAAGTAGAGAAAGCCAATGCCTGCTGTGCTCCTACCGAGTGCTGCTCCTGTGATTCCTGCCCTCTCCCCCTCACGCTCACACACAGACCAGCCCCACATTCGGCGCGCTCACATGCTCAGTCTCGCGTCGGCCAATTTCCCCCTTGACTCGGCTGGCCGCGGTCACCCTGTATCTGTGTGAAGAGTGGAACTGACAGGAGTGATGACGTTCAGCTCTAGCGCTCACAGCTATCAGCGGCGTCAGTCACACAGCCGTGACACATCAGAGTGTCTCGGGAGGTTTGTGGTCACGCATGAGCCTCCTAAATTATATGTCAGACAGAGCGTGCTTGTTTTGGACATGGACGGTGACAAACTTTTTTAACTCTTGTTTATACAACTCTATTTTGAAAGGGGAAACTACCTGTTTGTAGTAAAAAGTCAATCATAAAATGACTATCACTTGTCAACCAGACCTCAAAATCACACTGAACTAGCTATGTAATAATATCCATTTAACTAGTCTATGCTCTCAAAACCTTTTGGATCTATCCCGTATTTTTGGCAGATCTTTAGATCACTTTTTCTTTGACTGATTGAGGGCTGGTACTCCTTTACAATCGGTTCTGAGTATGTAAAGGATAAAAGATGAAGACAGAATGTTATGGCCTGATTTGCTGACAAAATGTTTCTTTGGACAGACAAAATGTATTTGTGAAACAAAATAAGTTATTTATGTCATCATTAATTAATTATTGTAAAATGAAAGTATATACTGAGTTGCCATTCTTTAATTCCTCTGCTTGACAAAATGATTGCGCTTACCACTTTATATTCACCTCTGTCCTATTATCTAAATCGCTCGTCTAAATCACTATTTGGAGACATGAATAGTATAATTGATCTAATACATAATATTTAGCAGTAATTTGTGCTTATATTGTGTAATTGCTATGTTAAGATACTATTTTATCATTGTGAAATCGGACACTATTACTTGTAGGCTCAGGCTTCTCCGCGATGACTGAGTGTGGCTGGTGCAAGGAATGGCTTGCCGCTGATAACTGCCTGTAATCTAGCGTGCGTCATTAACGCTGGGACCGCCAGGCTCGCTGCACATAATTACGGTTTCATTCCCCTTTGCCTCTGGAGCAGCACCGAGGCCTCTGACACAGGAGGGTTGTGATTAGAAGCACAAGGGTCTTTTTCCTCCCTCTCTTCTTTTTTAACATCCTGTCTCTGTTCATACGAATTCCTCAGATATTTTCTGCTGTGCTGAACTGGGATTTTCATTGGGATTGTTTTTTCTCCCCACACTAATTATAATAAAGCTTCCAAGAGGTATCTTATTAAAATTGTTCACAAATATTCAACAGGTTTTGGTAACATTTTCTTTGATGTGATGTTATTTACGATTTGTACTCTGTTGCGTATATGGTCAGAAAAAGAGGTGGAAACTTGCCTCTTGTTTGCATACCTCCCCAAGTTACTTTAATCCACACACATATAGTCATAAAACACCTCGGAGGGGCTCTGCCGAATTTCATTAGAATTCCTTAAAATGCATGCGTTAGAGCTTGCGCGCCGCTGGGTCTTTTCTGGTGAGTAATTAATTTTCAGCATGTGGGGGTAGAGAGAGACTCGTGGGCTTGCCTGTCGGCTTTGACTGCGAAAGAAAGAGAGGGGGAGGGAAGATGCATGCTGCTGGCCCGACTACAACGTGCCTGTGTCCGTGCCCAAGGGGAGAAGGAGGAGGGGTAAAAACAGCACAGCGCAGAGAATCGATCCAGAGGCTGCGCTGCTCCGACGAAAGAGTCCTCCTCTCGTGGGAATTGGTTATAACGCCTTGTAAAAGCTCCCCTCATTTCCACTCCGCTCAGCTGCTCTGTGCGTCTGGCTTTTCCACAGTAAACTCAAAGCGGCATGTAGCCAAATCAGCAAAATATTGGCTTCCTGTTTAATTATCCCCGTTTCTTGCTCATATCACCATGGGTTTTGTGTGTTATCAGCAGGTTAATATTTGATTAGCTTTTAATTGGCCTGTGTTTTTCACTTTGGTGCAGTGATGTTCCAGTTAAGGCACCCAGGTTTTCAAATAATTATGACCATTTAGTTTAGTCGCCCAATCTTTATTGGCCACTGCCTTGTGATCTCGTAGTTAAAGCAGCATGAGCACATATGCCAGGCTCTGTGCGACTGGCAGCCTCAGCATCAGGAGGAGGAAAAAAAGCCCTACCTTCACTAACCCCTTTTCATGCAACACTTTCATGTCTTATAAACCTTGCAGATACAAAATTGAAACCTTTTGAAAGGGTCACTATAGACCAGCTTCTTTCTTGCAGGTATCTTTAGCAGAGGACATCAGACCGTTGAAGTGGTATCCCTCAGTTTACCTGCTGGTATCCATCTTCCCCCTCATCAACAGGTAACACATTATGCACATACACATCAGCCACATCTACTATTAGGATATTTACTTCATTGGTTTTCTGGTTACTACCACCTCCCTATGCTTTTTCTCATTCTTTCGCTCTACTTCCTATTTCAGCTCTCTGAACGGGTTGCATTCTCTCTGCACAGCTGTGCAAAGAGAATGCTTGTGTATGTATGTAAGGTTTTTATTGGATTTTTAAGGAACGAGGGCTTTACTGGCTGAGGGTTTGTGGGTGGAGGCGGGTGGTCCAGTAAATGATAACCCCTATGCTGTTATTACTCCTACCTTCTCTTCCTGTCCTCCTGCATCCAATCTCTCACTTTCCAATCCCCACTTTCTTTCATTTCCCTTCCCCCTGCTTCCTTCCGACTGCGCTTAGAACCGGTGTGATTGACAGGTCAGGGTTACTAAGTGATTAGCTGTGCCGGCTCTGCTTGTCGCCACGGCAATGTAGGCGGAGACACAGGTCAATTACAGGGTCAACGTCTCTCAAAGGCGCCGCTTAAACACTGCCCATCCCCCCGGAGACCCCTTTGCCCTGCCACCTCTCTCGCTCTCCCGCCCCGTGCCCCTGCTGTCGCCTGATGAAGATGACAAACTGCACGCACCACTCACATGAACAACGCTCTTTATACAGTCGCCTGATGCTTCTGCGATCATCATTGGTCGGAAGTAACAGTTTATTTACAGAGAATACGTACTCTGAATACTATTTTTGAGGAACTATTCGGAAAAAAAAGGTTACTACTATGTATTTGAGAAATATTACAATCTACTGTATTTTATTCTAAACATCTTCAGCCATTTAATTTAATAACCCGACAGTACATCTAATGCTAGAAAATCATAATCATTGACTCTTTCAGTTATGTGAAAAATTTCAAGCCTAGCACACCTTTTAAAAATAACTTTTTTTTTGTCATAAGTGCTGTCAGTTCCTGCCCCTGCAAGTCTTGGGAGAGCTGTAGAGGACGAGTCCGTGTGTGGCGTGTCAGTGTTTGGTGCGTCGGTGTGCGCCGCTTCAGTGTGCGCTGTATTGGGGACGTAAGGTACAGCAGGCGTTGGAGAAAACAACAGCAGTCGCGCTCACTGGTGATTACTGGACGTCAGTAATCACAAGTGGTTCCAGGCCACAGCCCAAACGTTGAAGCTATGGTTTTTTCCCCTGCGCATTATTGTGTTTATTAGACCATTTATTATATGTTAAAAAGTTCTATACACTGTAAAAAATAAGTTTGTAAGTAATCTTTATCTGATATAGCGCATTTCACAGACCAAGGTTACACAAAGTGCTTTAGAAATTACAGTAGCATTTTTTTACATTTTCTCCACACCACGACAAAAGTGAAATGCCGACCACACTGGCGCATCAATGCCCTTGACCATCACAATTCATTCACTCTCTCCTCATTATGCATTTTTGTAGTGGTAGGGGAAACTGGAGCATCCTGAGGAAACCTACACAGACACGGGAAGAACAAGCAAACTCCACACAAAAGTCCTGGAGGTCAAAGCAAACCCAGGACCTTGCTGTGACGCACAAGCGCAAACCAGTGTCGCCCAAAAGCAATAACAAAGGCCTGTAAAGATTGAGTACCCTACTTTAGACAATCTAAATACTTTTTTTTTCTTCTAAAATATATATTAATATATGGATTAATATAAGCTTTTTGCTTCATCCAATTCCTTATCAAATCAAGGGACATTTAGAACAGGTTCTTTATCATTTTTCGTCAGTGGCAATGTCTGCTGAGCTTTTGTTCTAAATGCAAAGAAGGAATAATGATGTATATTATTCTGGCAATAATGGTCAAAATGCTAGGTGCTGACTCTTTTCACCTCCATCTCTCTCCTAGTAAAAGATGGGAACATTCCTGCTTGCTCGCAGTCGCAGCGCTACCTCCTTCCTCCTGAGAAAACGGGAATGAATTGCTCTCAGCCGCCCTCCACCCACTCCCCCACTCGGCAGCGCAGGCTGTATATATCTCCGGCTCCTATTAATTTGTTAGGCTCCCCTCCCCCTTTCCCGCGCTCGCTCCCCACTTCCCTCACTTGGCTTGGCTCATATCCTCTTCAGCTTTTTTTCCTCCTCCTTTCCCTTCGCTCGCTGAGTGCTGGAGTGTGTAAAGTGTTTGTCACGGTGCCGTGCTGATGTCGCTGTGCTCTGCCGCGTGGAATCGGTAGACTGACACGATGTGCGTGGATGTGCGTGTGTGAGTGGGCGGGCACTAGGCGTTTTTGTGCCAAGGTGAATCTGCTGTCGATCGTTGCTTGTTGTCGTGAGCGCAGGAGTTGTGAGCGCCAGCGTGTGCTCCCTCACTTGTTTGTCGCTCCAGCTTCAGTGTGTAGTTTGTTTTGTGTGTGTGCCTGCCTAGCTGCGCGTGTGTGTCTGAGTGGGGGATTATTTCTATCTGAGCTCCAAAGCCTCCTAAACAGGGCTTAGAGAGACGGCCCAGGGCAGCAGCTAAAGCCGGCGGGTAGACCTCGCTCATTCCCTGTGCCCTGTTCCTCCACTCTTTCCTCTATTTTACTCTGATCCATGGCATTAACACAGACACTCCCCCTAACCAACACCACAGACTGCTGTTTGGTGTGTCCCCTTCAAAGTCATAAACATGCACACATACATTTTAATGGCACGTGCAATTTGAATCTATTCCGAATGCGTGCTAGTAAATGTGTTAATTCAACACCAGCTGTTACTAACTCAAATGAAAGTGCTTCTACTTTTACTCACTGGCACACAGGACTGCTATGGGCAGACAGGCTCTGGGTCCTGTGTCTTTCCAAACTTGCTCTCATGTTGTCGCAGTCTCCATCTTAACTCATCTCCCTATCTTTAGGACATTCACAGCTATTTGTGTTTGTGCACAGAGCGGGCTTTACCAGAGCTTCTTACATTGCATCCCTTGTGTGCTTTATGGTGTGGGTGTGTGTTTGTTTGCGAGGCTTGTTGAGATTCTTTCTGTGCATGCTTCTACCCATGTTTGCATAAATAAGTGTCGGAATCTAGCTTCTGATTTCAGTGATGCGATGCGGCTTCATGTGTAAGTGCTCCTCCTGGACAGAATGCTCATCTGTCTTTATAACTTTGTGAGCTTTTTGCCATTTCCTTTTGACAGCAACTAATGGTGGAACCAGCGTTTGCTAATAGTTTTTTTCAATCCATTGGGGGGAAATGAGAAATTAGCATTGTCGCGATAGTGATGAACAATCAAAACAAATGCATATATTATGAATTGGAAAGAGTCCACAGAATTTAGTTTGTGAGAATCCAAAACCCATGCCTGTACTTTTAGTTAGTAGCAAAGCACAAATAAAGGCTTTTGTGAGTTTTATACCTTCTATAGTATGCATTGATGGTATGTGCAATGACTTGAATTAGCACAGTGCAATGTTGTGTATAGGATTCACATGACGCAGCTTTTTTATGGTTATACTTAGATTTTTCAAGTCAAAGTGCACAGAGACGTTTACGTAGTGCAGAGATTTTTTTAATGCGTTTGCTACACCAGCCACCCTCCACCCCCACCCATCTTTCTCTAGAGGAGATCTGATTTCCCCGCTCCAGGCGAGCTGTGCGAACAAGTTGCTGTGTGTATGTGCGTTCTTCACGGCGCCTTTGCGTGTGTATGCAGCCCAAGCCAGGCAGACCTTCCCCATCTCCGGTCTGTGCTTTGAAAAACGAGGGAGGAAATCTCAAAGCAGCAGTTATTATTCATCCCTCAAAGAGAAACGGGAGGAGGATAGAAGGAGGGATGGAAGGAAGAAGAAAGACTGGAACAAAGTCGGGGGATATATTAACTCTTATCTCACAGAATTTGGCGTTCTGCATCCCAGAATGCACTGCCTCTTTCTAAACCTGCTTTTTCTTCAATTCTCCGTGTTGGTGTTCCTTGGTTCCCTGAATACATTAGTCATGATGAATGTGTATGTCCAACTGTGTGTACTGTCTGGTTTGCACTGCACTTTAATTGCTTTACTTTAACAAGTTGGCTTCAAAGATTCTAAAATTTAATGTCATGTTCCATTGTGTCAGTGAATATCTTTCATATGTTGCGACAGTTAAATATTTCCTATTTGTCAACTGTAAACATTGATTATCAATCCTGGTTATTCTGTTCAATCGTTACTCCCAACCTCTTCGGGGCGGCACGGTGGCTGAGTGGATAGCACTCTTGCCTCTCAGCAAGAAGGTCCTGGGTTCCGGTCGGACCAGGGCCTTTCTGAGTGGAGTTTGCATGTTCTCCCCGTGTCTGCGTAGGTTTCCCCTACCACTAAAAATATGTACAATAGGTCTGGCATGCGCCTCCTGTACTGGCAACCCCGCTCCCATCTCTGTGTGGAGTGAGAGACAAATGCCCAAAAAATAACAATTGTAAACCGCTTTGAGACTCAGATCTGCAGTGAAAAGGCGGCATATGAATAAAGATTACTCTTCAACATGTACAAAATGTCCGGCATGTATGGCGAGCCTGCTCCCATCACTGTGTGTGGAATGAGAGTATACAATACAAAACCACTTTGTGACTATCTCTGAAAGCTTTTTTTTATTCTTACAACTAAAAAAGCCTGGCACACAAAATTCAGCCCCCCTGAGTCAATCCTTTGGTTAAAAAAAAAAACCGGCAAGGATTCCACAGTTTTTCACATCCAGACTTGGGGGGTGAAAACGCAAGTGTAGAGAAACAGCCTCCAGTGTGGAACAGAACAGATACACTGCTCGGCGGGAAACAGTCGCTTGATAAAGTTCCCACTTCCCCGCATGTACATTTGGACATGCGCAGTAGCCGATAGCTACGTAAACAACAATGCGCTACACTGAGGAGAATTCTACTCCTTCGTCCGTCCAAACGAAACCATGTGAAGCTGTAGTTTCAGTTTCCATTTTTGCAGCTACTTTTAAAAGCAGAATGATGTTGGTGCATTCTTTCACGTCTTTACCTGAGGAGGATGTTGTTGAGGAAATGATTATACTGCTGGGAGTCTTCTGTTGTAAAGTTCCACTGCCTCAGCAAGGGACACCTCAAAAAACCCAGTCGGGTAAAACACATTGGTGGCCCACATTGAGAGAGGGATCCTCTCCCATGGAAAGTCAGGCTATAGATCCAGTACTCACACTTAAGGTTTTTCCTTTTGGCCAAAATGTTTATTGATGTTAATTTTGCTCCATATTCTAAGATAAGATAAGATGTGCTTTATTTATCTCACATAGGAGAAATTTACATGTCACATTTGGCATGGATAGGACACTCAGATTGTGCAAAGGAGGAGATGTGCAAACATGTTACATGCAGGATATATATGTACAACAAAAGTGACAATAATTATGTACAACCACAGGTTGGCTGTTTACCTCATTTGGTTTCTTGTGTTTTATTTCAACACAGGCTTTCCACTGGCCATGCTTGCTTAATGGGGAGATTTGTGAAGTCCCTGACTAATAGTTGTCCCATGTACAGATTCCCCCAAGTAAGCTGGCGGTCTGCTGCTTCCTCAGAGTAACCGTTTGCTTCTTGACTGTTCAGCCTGTGGCAATGGCACGGTCGGTGTTACGTTTCCCGATGATGTTCAAAGCTTCTCACAAAATGTTGTGAGAAGCTTTTTTTTTTCAACTAT